GACTTGGCCCCATCATCCCTCCAAGCCCCTCTGCCCAGGGTGGAGAGAGTGGGAGGAAGGGAAGGTGCCTGGAGAGGGGGTGGGATGGAGAACAAGGAGGCAGAGGGCAGGACAGAGGATGCTGCTGAGCCCCTCGCTAGAGAGCATCTAGTGAAGGGAGCTTGACCTCACTGGGGAAAACTTAGCTGCTGGTGGGGGTCAAGGAAGGTTGCAGGGATCCCGCTGGGTTCCTCCCCTCTCCTGGGAGACCCAACACCAGGGCTGGATCAACCATGGCTGCCCCAGAGCGGATCTCCTGTCCCTGTGGACAAGGACCCCTTTCCCCAGAGCTTGAACGGGTCCAGCTCTGGACCCAGAACTGTGTAGCCATCCCAGCACTGTGTCTCTCTCCCTCTCTGCCCTGGGTGCTGCTCAGACCCCCGGGGCTGGGACACAAGTGAGACACGCTGTGCCAGGGCATGTGTCCCCGCTGCCCAACCTGTGCCACCCAGCAGTGTGGTGTAACCGCTGTCTTGCCCTGCTCTGCCGTGAGGCCACGGTGCTGGTGCCGGTGCTGGCAGCACACAGAGCCCCTATGGAGGTGGCAGCCCCATGGCCAGGGCAGGGTTTGGGTGTGGGGCAGAGCCCCGATGGCTGCAGCTCTGGCGTCACCTCTTCTGCCAGAACATCTCTCCAGCTCACCTCCGTGGAGAGCATGGCTGGCTCTACCCCTGTGGGCATCGCAGGGCTTGTGGCATCTCCCCTGGGACAGGAGCAGAGGATGGAGGGAGGAAGGACAGTGTTTCAAGGTGACTTCTTGCTGCTCAGGGTTGTCAAGGTCTGGTGCCCCTTGGCAGCTCGTTTGTGATGGCTCATCCCCTTCTCCTCCCGGGAGCTGCGGTGTTGAGCTGCCCACCAGGGCTGGGCTCTTCTCTTATACCAGTGTCACACCAGTTTATACCAGCATGGGAGAAATCCAAGCTGACCTGTGGCAGTTGGGTTTCCAAAGGCATTCAGGAGGTGCAGCAACACCGACTCATTTTTGTGAAAGATTCCAGGCAAGTTATTGCCCAAATCTCCCAGACCCAGGTTGCCTTAAGCACAGTAGAAAACCAGTCCCTGTCCCACTGTGGGTACAGATGGGACATCAGGGCTGGGCAGGAGGGAGCTGAGCATCTCCCATCCTGGCCAAACATCTCCCTGCAGCACCATGATGCCTGGAGGCACCAGGAATGAGGTATCCATGTGGTGTTGTGTGGACGTGTAGTGCTCCCCAGCAGCTCCCTGATTCCTCCCGCCGCTCTCCCCTGGCTCTTAATCTCTCTGAATTCTCTACCTAGGAGCCGCTGGCCCTGGCAGCCGCGGGGAGCAGGGCTTTCTCCCTCCCACAGATTGTGCTCACCGAGTGGGTGTCTGAACCGCCGTCCCCTGAAGCTGAACCGGAGCTATGGGTGCAAATGGGATGCTCAGAGGACAGGGACCCGGCTGGCAGTGGAGGAGCAGGAGGGGAGCTTGGACCCGAGTTGGAAAGGAAATGCCGTGTTTCTCCTGGCATCTCCAAAAGGTCTCCAGCCTCAGCCCCACAGCCCCTGAGCTGCCCACCTCGGGGCCGTACCCACACAGCAGCAGACACTTGGAGGTTCCCTCCAGCAGCCAGTGAGGTCCCGTCTCTCTCCAAGGGGATGGATGGAGGGGACACTGCTCTGAACACTGCCTGCAGGCAAGAAGGCAGGAGCAAGACTTGGCACCAAAGTCCCTTGGCTACACAAACCCCTTGTCCTCAGGGGGAAGCCATGGATCCCAGAGCAGCGGTCCCCTCCACCAGTGTGGGCAGTGGAGGACCCAGCACTGTCCCCCAACTTCCCAGGGATGAGGACCCCCAAGGAGGAGCCAGGCTGAGCGTGCTGGAGGCATCGCTCCCTCCTGGAGACTCTGCTGGGGCTTGCAAATGTGCACAGAGGGAGGAGAGCTCGCCAGCCCCAGTCTGCCCAGTGCCAGATCCCAGAGCTTTCCCAGGCAGGGATCCATCCCCATGGGGAAGCGGAGAGTCCCAGGCTGAGCATCCCCAGGTCGCTGCTTTCTCAAGGCCAAGCCATTGCCCAGCATTGCCAGGCCAGCACAGTGTGGCTTTGGCTGCGAGGGGAGAAGGTGGCACAGAGGGCACCAGGGTGCGGGGGAAGGTGGTGGAGGGGCTCTGCAAAGGGCAGTTGTCCTCTCGCTGCTCCATGACTCCGTGCAGCAAGGAGATTTATGAAGGCACCTACCAAAGACTGGATAGCTTGGAAGAAACTATCCGTGAGCTGGAAATAACCATCAGTGAGATCAGCAGCCATCCCTCGGTTGGATTTGTATTCCCTAAAGAACTGCTAGGACAAGCGGGATCCAAGGATGCCAGCAAGGAGACCAAGGAAGGTCTGGAGGATCTCAAACACAGTAGCTGTGACAATGGGACTGCCCTGGACCTCAGTCAGGCCAAAGATGATGCTCTCAAGAGTCCGTCTCCAAGCAAGACCAAGCCACCTCTGCTCCCCAAGCCGCAGCTTCCCCTCGACACTCAGCAGGTTTATTTTCTCTTCTCCCTCTTGCCGTGCTCTGCCCCGGTCTCACTCTGATGTCTTTCTTCCTCTACCTGCTCCTTCTCTGTGACTCTACCTCCAGGCAGAACCAAGGTGGAAAACCAATCTGTTTCCTTTTCTCCCTGCTAACTGGAAGGGGTTTGGGAAGTGCAGGAGCGAGACTGCAGGCAGCAGAGTCGGCAGGGTGAAGGCAGGCGGTCCCCAGCAGTGATGCCACCTGCCCAAACTGGTGATGGTGCCACCAAGTGCCCAGCTCCAAGTTGAACATGAGCCAACAGTGTGTCCTGGCAGCCAAGAAAGCCAACTGTATCCTGGGGGCATCCAGCACTGCACTGTGAGCCAGTCGAGGGAGGGGATCATCCCGCTCTGCTCTGCACTGTTGTGGCCTCACCTCCAGCACTGGGGGCAGTTTGGGCACCACAGGAGAAAAAGGATCTAAAGCTGCTGGAGAGTGTCCAGAGGAGGGACACAACATTGAGGAAGTGTTTAGAGGAGAAGCCATGTGAGGAGAGGCTGAAGTCACTTGGATTGTTCAGCCTGGAGAAGAGGAGACTGAGAGGAGATCTCCTGGGGGTCTAGAACTTCCTCCCAAGGGGCAGAGGAGGGGCAGGCGCTGAGCTCTCCTCTCTGGCCACCAACGAATGCCAGGAGCAGAGGGAATGGCAGGAAGATGTGGCAGGGGAGGGTGAGGTTGGCCATGAGGAGACGGTTCTTGAGGCAGAGGGTGGTGGAGCACTGGAACAGGCTCCCCAGGGAGGTGCTGATGGCACCAAGCCTGACAAGATTCCAGCAGCATTTGGCCAAGGCCCTGAGGGACATGGTGTGAATGTTGGGCTTGTCCTGTGCAGGGACAGGAGTTGGATCCATCATCATTGTGGGTCCTTCCAGCTCACAACAGTTGATGATTCTATGATTTTATGATCCCTTGCTGTGCATAATCCTCCAAATTAGACCCTGGCTATCTGGTACCTTCTGCCACGGCAGGTTTTGGGGCTGATGATGCTGCTGGTGATGAGCAACGGGGCTGATGATGAGCATGAAGTTGGTGATGAGCATCCCACGGGGACGGTGAGGGCTGGGTGCACTGGGTGACAAAATACCATCCCTCATTTTGCTGTTTTGCATAAGCACTTTCCTAATGAAGTGCAGTCTGAGCGTGGCAGCTGTTTCTCCTAATTAAATCACAGCGCGGGCTCCCCGAAGCCATCC